CAAGGTTGTCTTTATTTGTAATATTCTGTTCTTTTCGAGTGGATTTACGGCGATTATAGACAGAGTAAAAAAAGATATGTTTGCTTTCCGTATTTTTCGGAAGTTGTAAATCGCAAGCTGCTTGTGTTTCTCTATCATATGTCAAATTTGCCAGGATGAACTCCATTCACCAACGTAAACTCTTCGCTTGCCAATTGTCCATCCCACAGATTTCAAAGTCGCTTTCTGATACAGGCCGATTTTTCGATTTTATCGAAAAATAACCTTCTTTTGCTTATGGCAATGGACTTGAGTTGAGAAAATGCAAAACAGGTGTTTTCTCTGCCACCTTCCTTTCGTAAATGATATTAACCAAGAGTGCTAAGAACTGTCCGTGTCTTTTCATCATCCTCCCCCACTATGCAACGTACTCGTTGAAGATATTACTATTGCGTTGCGTTAACAATTCATGCATATGTATTCATCTTCATGATTCTTGTCTTAAATAAGTGTTTCTGTCAGCCCTTGATTACTAGTATCATCTCGATTGAAATGTGCTTCGCACTTTAATACCATGATCGAAGGAACTACACTAGTTGCTGTCGATGTTTACTACCTGGAAACAAATTTTGTCAACGTTTCATTTACAACGCGACAGCATTGCAAGATGTCTACAACTGTTTTTCCGACCCTCGATTTGTAGATAGGGTCACAAAAGCCGAAGCGTAGTAATGAACACTCTCACAACGTATACAACGTTACGAAAAATGTCCGGCTCGTGCTCGAACTACGACGATACAAAATCATAGTATATAAGAACGAGTAATCAAGTGGGCGATGGAAACAGGTATATAATAATTGGAATGATGATTCGAGAAAAGAGAGAAAGAGTGCGAGGGATGAGAGAGAAGAGAAACGAAAGTGTGATTGTAATATTTAAACCAAGTTACATTATTGTCAACGCATCCTGCAAATTGCAGTGATTGCCATACAATCAAGTTTAATCACAAGATTCAGTCTTGGAGATTTGCGTTCTTTATTATCTACACCTACGATTGAACGCTAAAGGTGTACTTGCGACAACAACAAAGATAATACATATAAACCTGAGCACCAACTGGATTCAGAGTCTGCCATTACACCGACGCCATGCTTGTGTTACACGAGTTATTTTATACAATTTTTCCCCGATTTCTGACTGTCGATCGCTACTTGATGCACTGTAGAAACAATTTTCCCTTGCTCATTATTCCGTGTTACCTACGGTGTTTGTATGACGAACAAATTCATTCAGAGGCATTTCCACAACCACACTACGTATAAATAGCACAGCATAAAAATAATCAAAATCATTAAATCAAAGACTTCGTTCTAGTCAGAACACAATACTTCTGTCTTGCTCTTTACTCCGAATAACTTTGATATAATGGACGCACTAAATAATGTGGACAACGATTATGTCAGGCCTGTTACTAACGCCTATCAATCATCTTACCTGGGGAACTTTGATTTTGGCGACGCCAATTCTCCTCTAATCCACCAATCTCACACTCCAAATTTCCTTCTTTCCGTCTCCAATGATGTCGATGGGATGTTCACGAATACTGTGAATTATGACTATGCATCATATCAGGACAATCCCTCAGTTCCTCATTTCTACCCGGATAACAGTACCGCTGTAAATGGGCAGTTACGTTCACCGAATTTCGATCAAGCCGAAACTCACGCAGACAGCTCTTGTCCGCTCCCAGTACCTTGTCAAACATTCTGTGAATCTTATTCCGATGTGACAAACGACAATCCGACAGATAATTATTTTCAACGTCTCGGTGCTAGTACGACTAGCGATTCATCTGTCTCTTACATACTTACGCAAGAGCCCACAAACTTTGGGTACGTTTTTATGAAAGTAGAGTATACTCAATTAGGCAGAATAGCTGCTGCTGATGTTGACAAAATTTTAGCTCTACTCAAATGTGAGAAATAATTCATGTATGTTAGATAAATTACATGAGTGTCTTTATGGGAAGGTTTATATTAATAAACTTTTAAGAATACGGTTCAACTTTTCAATAAAAGCCGATGTTTTCAATGTTTCAACTTTTAAACAGTGTAAAGTGCGTGACTACTATGCGGTGACTAAACGACGAATATTTCTCTCAATAGGAGTTACTTTGATCGAACTGTTGACAGATTACAAGTATTAAATCATTGAAAAACGACGTTTTTCAATTTTAAAGCAAAGTGAAAAGCTAAAAAAGTTAGAAAGTATATGAAATTTTTTGGGAGTAATTTTTTAGACGGTTTTCTGAATTTGAACTAGAATTTGGAGTAGTGTTTGATAATAGAAGAATATATGTGGTTTACTGAGGCTTTAAGGAAAAACTCCAGAAGTCATTTTAATCCGAGTTCGTTTAATCTGCCACAATTATTATTATTATTATTAATAGTCATGGGGGTGATCAACATGCCGATCACCCTTGTTGGTTACAAGATCGAAATTGGCATAGCCATATCTTTTACTCTGACATGATGCCAATTTTGTTCTGCTTCAATAACCAGTCATGTCAGTTTTCGGTTAAATTATATAATATGCCAACTTTTCGTTGAATATAAGAATGCTTAACGTGGTTATCCATATACAGTAATTCGTTGAGGTATAACATTTACTTTGTATTACTTACGCTCACATATTCTTTTCCCTTACTTCAGTACTTAAACATCTTTTAATATTGTTTTCATAATCTTAAAATACTTTCCTCATATTTATAATAGATGCATGCAAATTGAAAACGGATTGTAAGATAGAATCATCGTTCCGTAAATGGTCTTTATAATCGAGATTTTAGAGATTAGTACTAGGGAATATTTTGGCGAATTCAGTTCTATTACCGAAAAAAAATTTTTTGTCATAATGTGCATACAAGTCTGCATGTATTACCAAAAAAACACACTTTGTTTTTTGTTTTTTCCCGGCTTTGTGTTATGCTTTTACTCTAATAAAATATGATTGTGTCGGCTATAAAATTTTTTTGGATTTGATTTTAACCGATGTCGTTATAAGTTCCCATGCTACACACTTTTACTTTACCTGTAATAGGTTTTCTAGGTGTCCGTAATACGCTCTAATACAATGAAATTCTCCATTTTGGATACATTGATATCACATCGTTAACCCACATAAGAAAATGCCACGCAATTTATAAAATTTACTTTCATACAGTTTATATAATGCTTTTGTTATAGAACAATTATACACAAGAAATGCTTCGTACCTTGATCTTGCTTTAGTCATAATTTCCCTCCAACTATATGGTCTTTTGCCACGTTCTTTATTACACGTTGACAAGAGTCAGTTAAAATCAACTGTAGCTGATATCAGTAGTTGAGCAATAAACTAATCTTGTTATCTATGTTGTCAATAGTATATGCAATCTGAAACTTGAAAGTGTTAATTTTAATCAGGCCAATAGATAACAGATAAAAATTATTGGTTTTTTCATATAATCTATTGTTTGCTAGTCACGTTTCGATGCTCGAGCGGTTAAATAAAAGCTATAAAAAAACCGTTCCAAAAGTTGGTAACTTTTCTTATTTATTAAATCGTAAATTAGACTTTTTCGTATATATGTATATTCCCTCTCGTCGACTACTTTTAGTTTATACAATATGTTTTCTTTACTGGACAAAATCGAGTTGCGTTCTAATATTCCTTTCTTTTATCGTTATTCTAATACTCTAGTCACAAATTAGTAAAAGTCCGACAGACGCAAAAAATTAAAAGTTGCCGAAAAAGAACTTTATTACACATGTCGTAAAGTTGAAACTTTAGACTTAAAATTAAGGATTATGAAATTGTTTAAATTGAAGTAATTTTGAGAATATAGAAGTGTGTTTTGAGACCAGCGAGAGATTTGTTAAGCAGAAGAGAAAGAAAAACATAGACACATATTCTGCCAACTGTGTAAAAATTTTGCTCCTTTTTTTTTACAATACAATGATAAAGCTATTGACAAAAATTATTTGCACTCGGTGGGTTTGTCCAGGAAATAAATTTAATCCCGAAGCATGTTATCCAAGTCGAATACTTTAAATTTTCGCATTACGTAATATTTTTACTTAACGAGGATTTGAAAACATTTAAATACTCTACACAATAACAACCTCCGCCTTCATCGTTCGTTATTCTCCGACACGACAGGTCATGTCCATTACGAAGCACTTTTTTTCATAAAAAATTAATGTAAATACACTGTATTTATTGCAAACAATAGCTTGACTTGAATCACAGTCATTAAAGCTGTTGAATTTGCATTTATGTATGTACGTTGTTGTTTTTTTCTGTGTAGGCCGTGGTGCACCGCACGCAACTAATTATATCTCACACTGACTCAATTTTGTTTTTGTAATCTTAAAGATACAACGTCTACTACAGTTTTCCCAACGTCTTTGAATGTAGAAAAGCATAACCGATATTTGAAACAACTGATCAAAAGTCGGGTGCGTAACCCAATAAAAACTCGAACTGCGACTTTCATCGATATACGTCTTATTCTGCCATAAACGCAGTTATCATCAAATTATGCAATTAATTTTAACATAAGAGCGTAAACACAAACATAATCTTGCATTATATATGACATTGGCTGAATTTGAATGTCATGCCTGCGTAATTCTATATGATGGCGACTGAAATTGCGTATATTCGAAATTTGCAAATTAAAGAATACGTGATATGCACGAAGATAATTGCTTGGCTCTGTCGCATCAAAAAGAGAGAAACGCAACTGCCGCGTTTGTCTTGAACAAATGCAGGCTTTGTAACATTGTGGCTAATCTAAATCAAGGTTTTGAGCTCATCTTAACTAAACTCGTCAGACGAGCATTGAACATCTTTGCAAAGAACAGCATCGGTTCGTTTTCCTAATGCAATACGGCAACAATGTTTAAGATCTATCACTTTATTATGATTGTTGGGGTAATGTCTATACGACGGTCGTCATAAAATTTGGCAAAATTTTTATTTTATTATTTTTGTATAATAAATTTTATACATACATTGCCCAAATACAGTTACTAACTGTAGACAATTTTTGTTTGAAATTTAATGTTAAAAGTTGTAAATTTATTTTCCCCTTAAGTATTGCTCGAATGGGTTTATAGTTGCATGAGTAAGAACGTCAAACAAGAATTCAAATATCACGGCATTCACTCGCCTGGAGTTATCCCGAGACGTCTAGCAAACTAATAGGCCTTAAGTAAACCCGGATATAACTATTTGGCTTAAAACCGGACTTTTGCTGCACGAAAATGTTTAATGGTAAAATTGTTGAAATATTACAAAGCTAATTATAAATTACTCGATATTGGATACACAGAAGGTTCTACATATCATATTTAAAATTTCCTATGGATTTTCTTGTCCTGCAAATGTCTTTTGTTGTATAAAGGCTATTATCGTTATATGTCTTATGCAACTTGTTATACATAGTCAAATAGTCGTAAAGTTTTTGCTGAATCGCGGGTTGTTTTTACAGAACTTTACCGCTATAGTAGGATGACTCTATTGCAACGCTACTTAAGGAAGTCAGTACTAAATAATTGAAAATAAAGGCACGGCATAATTATTACCTGCCGTTCTCGCATCTCAATTGTTCGGCGCGGTAATTGTTATTCTCATTACACGCTGACTGTTATGTCAGTTACAAATAAGAATACAATCTAAAAAAAAGATTTATTATCATATATTGCCGTTTATTTATCCAATTAAAGTTTATGTCTACGCTTGCAAGCGCTTCTGCTGGTGGGAAAATTATTGGGGATATGTCGTAAAACGAATGGGATAAGTGGGTTACTTAATTTGTGTGCCAACAAATTCTTGTCTATTTGTTAATAAACTTAAAGTCGAACTGAAGATAATTACTACGATTGTGTTTTGCTTTTTCCGCAATGACTTTATATTAATTTTGTCTGTGCTACGATCCCTCATATTTGTATACATACAAATGACAAATTCTATATGTCCAAAGATTATTCTTATAGTAAACGGTAGTTGACTTGAATTGATCAATGTGATGGGAGACTGCGTAATCTTATTATCTATTTAAAGACAGTTATTAATATTGCTTTCATTTTGAAGAACGGAGGACAGATTACTCCTCATTTTTCTCCGTGCCTCTTTCCAAATAATTGTTGCTATTTTTACTGATCTCAAATAAAAATCAGACGACAAAAAAGTGGACCCAAAAAGGTATAAGAAACTAAGCAATAAAATCATTACATATCTTTGTAAAACATTAACATTACTCATTGTTGACCGTTGACCCCAATCAAGCAAGTCGGAAGTAAAGATTATGTCGTATTGTTAAGCACCCACCGAAGTATTCTACAAGAAGCAGAAGATAATTTTTAATACTATTTGTTTATTGGTGGTTTGATTAGTCTACGTGATATAAATGCAACAATTAGTTTGTTACGACGTCTCAGTTGAATAACACCTTATGCAATACATTAGTAAGACCCGTTTAATAGTACGTTCGCCAATGATAATTATTCGGCAGGTAGGACAACATTATAATTATCTTAATCTTTGCGCAGAAATACTTATCGTTATTTCCATTTATGAGTAGATCGTCCAAAAATATCATTACTCTTTTCAGTAGGACTATTGCTGATTATTTCTCGACGATAACGATAAAAACGTAAGCTTGATAACAGTCTCCATCACAAACATTATTTTCATTTTTCAGCTCACACTTAATACAATGAGCGAATCTAATAATATAAACAACAACTATGTCGACGGTGTCTATCAGCCGGAGGATTATTTTGATAACATCAATCATAATCCTCCAATTCAAATGCCCATTAATCCGCAAGCTCAATCTCAGGCGCAACATTTCCGTCCTCATGCTACATCCTTTCCCCTCCATGGTAATGTTGATATAAATATTATCGATTACGGAAATAACGAAAATATAATATCGTATCAGAGTAATCCCTCAGTTTCTTACTACTATCCGGGCGTAGATACCTCCATGAATGGGCCATTGAATACACCGTTTCGTAATCAAGTTGCAAGTTACGAAAACAGCTTTTGTCCACTCTGTGGCTTTTCCAACGGATATTTCGATAGGATTGACCGATCTATTACGCATACTTTTACACAAAATTCTAACGTAATGAACGAGTCCACAAGCAGAGAATATACAGTCATAAGAGAAGTACGAATTCAATTTGTGCTGGGCACACTACCAGCTACTGCTAGTTTTGATGAAGTGTTAGCTTTAATTCAAAAGTGAGAAAGAATAATTCATGTGTGCACATGATATAGGTTGTCTTCCTAATATTAAATAATGCAAGTTTCGTTTAAGCCGATTGATATTTATTGTTACTAGTATTTTATTAAACTCGATAGTGTAAAGTTGGATTTATCTCTATCATACTTTCATATCAATATTTGGAGATTTGCAGTACTTTATAACATTGACGCCATTCAACATGACACATCGTGTGCCTTGTATTGTGTATATTAATCAGAACAGTTACTTTAAATTCCCTATTACTATTGGTGTTATTGGCGCATCGAGTTGATCAACATTATATAGTTTACATTTGCTTATCAATGGCAGATAATAATAATAAGCAAGCAACAAAGATATGAAACCCGAGAGGATAACGATTGTTCAGTTAAACTATGAAGTCATTGACAGAAAAATTAACATATTTGGAGATTTGCGTTCTTTATTATCTACACCTACGATTGAACGCTAAAGGCGTACTTGTGACAACAAAGAAATTAAATATATATTATTAACAGCATATTTGGAGATTTGCTCGATAATTAGGCACTCTTCCTTATCAAGCGTCATAGACTGTCTGGAAGCACCGTAACTGTATGCATGTTAGACGTCGTCCTTTGATTAACAACATATTTGGGCCAGGCCATCAACACTCGTCTTATTTTCGCTTTCCAAATCTAGTTCTCAGATGTCTAACCAAAAAAATAGGGTGAGAACAAAAAGATTGTCATCCCTGAGAAAGCATGTAGATCACAGCCACGGAAACTTCTCAACAGTGTAAGTGGGCGGGCCCGTGACCTCCGGAAATTTGAGATGGGGTCAAAAGAATGAATAGGCCCAGATAAATTCGTCAAACGGATTCAATTGTGCGTGGGAATATCCCATATGAATGCTTATTATACGCAGCTCGCGGGAATGTAGTTTATTATTATGACGTGAGCGAATTTTGAACGACCGAGCCATAATGATTTTGCTAATAAGCTATGCTGATATATATATATATCTCAAATATGCAAAATCAACAACTATGTAGAGGTAGGCAAAAGGAAGCGTAGTGAAAGTTGCAATCTCCAGTTATTAGCTTGCCAAGCAGTGATGATGCTACTCTAATAACATATATGTAGACTGTTTGTCCTGATACAATATAGCCTCACTCACTTTTTAAATCAAATGCTGATTCTCGTAACTTTAACCACTATTAGTCACCAAAGAAAAAACTTCACCCCATCTTTCCACACCCGGCGACTCAAAACCCACAATATAGATGAGCATTTCGATTTTTGATCCATTGGAAGTAGGATATGTCTGAGCATGGCTTGTTTATCAGGCTAGCGTAAGTGGCAATGAGAGGGGCAAAGATACTTGTCGAAACAACGTACGCTTTCTAGTTGTTACCTTCCTGCTATCATTGTTCTCGTTGACAATTATCCTATTTCAATAACTTTCTCTCTCCGTTCCCTATTTATATCGGGTGACGCACAAATAATTCACATTTCTCTCTATAACGACAACATTACAAAATGCGACTTTCCCACCAAATCTCGAACCACCGACGATCTGATCATCAGATTAGATTATTCATAACAAATATTAACATGTAAATAAATCCGTTGCTGACCATGCTGGGACCTCTCAGCTCTCCAACTCGTCTCAACACGTGGCCGAATCGGACACCATTTTCAGCGAGTACTACAAAGCCAAAGTTCCGTTTGAACCACATTGTTTGCAATTGTTTAAAACATGGTTGGTACACCGATGAAGTTAGCGATTCCATGAGATTACCATTCAGTGACAGGCCCTATCGACTGAGTTGGTATACAAGACTACCTTGCGGTTATTGGAATTTTTTCACACACGCCATCCTGTCATTGACATCTCGTGCGAATCATCACCAATCAGCATTGGGTCAAGTACGTAACTCGACTGGATGGTCGATGTTTGATCAATAGCGTCCGATTCGGAAAACATTTCATCGCTGACGCGATACCGGTGAGGATGGATGAGAATGACTTTGCAAGTTGGTCTTGCCGGAACAAAACGTAAAACTAGGTTTTGTCCTACCGATGAAGGGAGATAATATTAAACGATCACGGTGTCATATCATACTATTGAGTAAGCTCGAAATTTTTTGAAAGCTTACATGCTTTTGGAAAAGACTATTCACAAAAAATGAGGTAGTAGGATCAATATTTATCTGAGTGGACGAGAGTCGTGATATTTGAACAGTCATATTATTTTCATAGTCGCGCGATATCCCAAAACTTCCAGTATCCCAAATATACAATAGCATCTCACGTAAGTTGTCAAAAAGTAACTTTTATTTATAAACATCGAATTAATAATCAATTAAATTATCATATTCTAATCTTCACTTCCACATTATTCTATTCTCAACTCTATAGATTATCTTTCCTCTAAACTAGGGGACCACAAAGAAATCAGCCCCCCATTCCGTTAGCATCTCCAGCCCATCTCCCTGTGAGTAGTTGTAGGAGCCCCCCCGCTTGCAGCTCTGCGTGAGCCTCAAAAGAGGCCCATCCGTGACATGGTTTGCCACATCTTGGGGACCACAAAGAAATTATCCCCCGCCCATTCCGTTACCAGCCAATACGATTATATAATTCTGATTCATGCTCGAATTTGCATTTCTTACCCCACCCCCCTGTGAGCAGTTGTAGGAGCCACCCGCTTATGCTCGAATCTGCATTTCTTACCCCACCCCCCTGTGAGCAGTTGTAGGAGCAGCTCTGCGTGAGCCTCAAAAGAGGCCCACCCGTGACATGGTTTGCCACATCTTGGGGACCACAAAGAAATCATCCCCCGCCCATTCCGTTAGCATCTCCAGCCCACCTCCCTGTGAGCAGTTGTAGGAGCCCCCCGATTGCAGCTCTGCGTGAGCCTCAAAAGAGGCCCCGCCCGCCGCTGACATGTTCCGCTGGTCTGTCAAGTCGACCCCGTTAGTGTACGCGTGTTGTGTGTGTTTGCGTGTGTGTTTGCGCGCGTGTTTGGTGCGTGTTTATGTGTGTTTTTGTGTGTGTTAGAGTGTTTGATAAAAGGTGTGATAACATTGTTCACTGGTTGGTCGTTTTTCTGAATCATTGTCCCAGCATTCTGTATATAAACTTTGTACTGGGACATGGAAAGTTTCTTTCGGACTAATAAGTCAACGTGTATTTGTTTTAAGGACATTTTGGTATGTGCTTTGTCTTTGTATTAGTCTCTTTGCAAACGATTGTTATGAGACACTTGAACCGTCGCTCGCCAGAGATGCCCTTATAATCAACTTCACTGTCTACCCGGAAAAGGAAGGTAACATATTCCCTGCAGATAATGAAAATTTTTCATTGGGCCGATAAAAAAATCTTGGCTGAGTTACGTTGTGCAACATTCATTGTCAGAGGATAATTATATTGATTCTAATATAAATAAGTATACTAAAGCATTTGTGTTTCGTATGTTTCACAAAGTTTTGGTTTTTCATCTGTACTCTGTGGGCGTTGGTCAGTTCGGATTCAAAAACAACCGATACAAACCCCACCAGAGTCTTATCGGTAGCTACTCTATCAACATATATTACGTCACATTAGAACAAAATTTATCAATGTTAGACTTCTCTCAGTAGCTAAATGACAGTAATTACGCTTTTACTGTACATTGGAAAGCGATTATCATTCTCAAGCATCTTCCTAATTGGTGAATACAATTCCACAAGTCTTATGGAAATAATTGATGAATCGTTTCGTTTCATTTCTTTGGCTGTCGAAGAATATTAGCAGTACCGGTTATGGTTTGCGCATTCCCTGCGTATTATATAGAAACGTTAACAAGTTTCCCTGAAGAAAGACAATCTACGGTTGAACTCTTGCTAATGCAACATCCCCAAATGTAACTTCTAAATGCACAGTAACACTTTTAAATGTACTATTATGTAGAAATAGATTTAATGAACCACTATCGTCTTGCTGTAAAAACCAATTTATAAATTAGCACTCAAACAAGTAATCGACGTTAATGACTACCACGGGGAATTTAGTGCAAGACTTGTTTATTTGAATACCCTGAATTCGACCGTTCCACTATGTTATTAATAAAGAGAGTCCTTATACATATAATCATATGACAGGATTCAAAATGCATACGAGGTCATGTGGAATAATATGACCGGCGTTCTCGAATCAAGTGTCTCATGACTGACACTTACGTTAAACGTAATGCCTTGGTTCATTATTCCCTTCCCTGCGTTGCTACCAGGCATCGTGCCTAACTACAGGTGCATTAACATTTGATAAAGATATCATTTATTAATGTCCGGTGAGTTTGTCTGTAAAAGCGTAAACACTAAAAAGATACGGCGTAGAACGTTTTGCGTGCTCCAAAGTTAATTTAATAAACCTTGATATAATAAGAATATGAATGTTATACCTCCCACCACAATAAAAAATCAATAGCAACAAAATGGCAAGCCATAAACTGACTTTACACTGTTGAAAAACTAATAAATATATTGTTGAGAATCACTTATAACGGTGTATATTGATAAAATACCCCATCCCGCAAAAAATCTAATATTAAGAAAGATTGTGTTTAGGACGAATAATAGATTATCCTAAATTGGGAACTCGTTTATGACGTTAGTGCTGTTACATGAAAGTGACGTTTGCACGGGCATTGGCGTAATAATGTATGAAGTAGACCGATTGTTGATTGCACGAAATGTTGAAAATAATTGTCTGTTGAGCTGTTGTTTGTCATATCGAAACGAGTAACGGAGGAATTACAGAAAAATATTGGGTGTGAATAAGAATTGCTTGTGTGGGTCTCGATTCGGTGGATTTAAATGCTCATTTATTGTGTTAAGATTACCCGGATGGATATAAGAAACCGGTGGGTTATTTTGATATCCAGTGCTTTCATAATTCATAGTATTCATAGAGGCGGAAGGTAGGAAATCTTGAGTATGAGACTGGGTTTGCAGATTGACTTGTCGATCTAGATCTATTAAAACGGAGTTTTTACGTTAGCATTAGTATCCGTTAGTATTTGCCATGAGCTGTAAATAATGTCCTCATTCTCCACGTTACCCATCTAGTGTTGGGTCGCACACAAATTGAGAATTATTAGTCGAATCATCACTTGCTGCGGAATAAGGGACGGAAGGGCCACGAAGGGTCTGAAAAAATGCTGGTATCGGACAAAAATTGTTCGTGTGGGTTTCAACTTGATCGTGACGATGTGAGTTCAGCTGTCCACTCGTCGTGTTAACGCTACCATGATGAGCATCTTCCGAAAAGCTATCGCCTGTATAAGTCCCGGTATCTTCGTAGTTCATACTCACTGACATCGCATGGACATTGTCGGAGTGAGACAAGGAGGCAGCAGAAGAGAGAATATTTTGAATACGAGATTGGGATTGTAATTAACAGGCAGTTGAATTGGTAGGTTGGTGTCAACCCTCTTATATTACATAAACGCGTAATTTTTTTATTCTAATAATATAACCGGTATTGTTGCCAGTATAACTATAATTATAACTATTTAGCTTATGCTTAGAATTTAAAGCAAAGTATGGGCGAATCTGTATAATAAGCTCTCGCCCCCACCAGCCGCCCCGCATTGTGTAACGAAGACTTTTGAATGATTTATAGTTCCTATGTAAGAAATAAAAAATTTTCTATCTTATAACATGTTGTAGCTCTTAGATAAAGATTTTTTTTCCAGTGGCACCCAATGTCGACATCTAGACTTCATTCTCAGAAAGTAACATGTTCGGTATACCATCTTTGATGGAATAAACGTGAGCAATTGTTCAATGTGTGTCTGCAAAGAAAAAGAAAGCATGTTAAGATAACGATACCACATCACACGGCAAACCGAAATAATAATCAGATTGTTCTAAACTTACTTCCAGCAAGATGTGGTGAAGCGTCTTGAGAAAAGACTCGTCAACCTGTTCTGGAAGACTCGCTAATCCGAGCTATATAAGACAAATTCATGTCAGCACCAATGGTTACTATATTTGGAAGCTAAATCAACAAATGTTATTGCCTGCACAAACTAATAAACCATACCCAACCTCGGCAACAGTCTTGACGAGACCATCCCATTTTGATTTCGGTAACATGTTTCTTAAAAACGAACCATTGAATTCAGTTTTATTTCCAACGACAACATCCGAGAATTGCAAATGGGAGACATCCTTGCACGTTGCATTAAAGCATATTATGAGTGATTAACGCATGTTGTTATATGTATGTATGTATATAGGGGGCGGTAGTGTTTTGTGGGGACGATAGATGCTAATAGATGAAGAAGTGGAATATCGAGAAATCAAAAGCCAGAGGCTTGGGTTTATATTGAAATGTCCCTGTTTGAATCGTGATCTTCAGAAATTGGTTACAGTAACGTGACCGCATGTACGACGTCTTCAGCCAGTCATCAGCTTTGAAATATTGTGTCGCAAATTGAGAACTGAGCTTTCGTTGGTGTTGTTCACATGATTAAATATTACACCTCATTCCGAAAAGACCCCCATTTCGTTTTAATCCGATTTCGTTTTCATCTGCCACAATAATTAATATGGAGTGCGCTCAATAACCTTCTTTATTGAGTCTGCGACTTATTACACTCGCCCTATAGGGAACATATATGCACCCATAGGAAATATATTATTACTTTTGTCCTATAGGAAACATGCGTGTCCCCTCGGTTTCCGGTGGATGCTCAATTGTTTCCATTACTTCTTCATTATCAAGCATAATGTCGATTATTTTATCGATAGGATCGAGTAGCTTGGGGAAAGCTCGAGTTTGTTTTTTGGAGGAGCGGTAGTGTCGCTATTGATAATTGAATTGTCGATAGGATTGGTTGGGGTTGCGGATGTTGGTGGTGATGGTTGTATTGTTGTCGTTGTTGTTGAGGGAGGAAGGGATTGGTGCGTGAATATATCTATATCACGGCGGATTTTACGAATTTCGTCTAAGATAAGATTATTATTTAGTTCGATGGGAGAAGGGGAAGAAACGGCAGAAGCTGTGGTGGAAGGGGTAGCGGAAGTCGTGGTAGTGGCAGTACCGTTTATATCATATTTGACTATGACATTTGATAAGTAGACAAATGTCACGTCGTCGTCATCTATTGTAATGGATTTGAGGCTAATTTGTATCTAGATCGGCAATAAAATTTCTAGTGTTACTACTCCTAAAATTAAGTCGATCATGGGCTGCGGACGGCTAAGAGAAAATTCTCTGAAGTTTCTGTCGGTGAGCTTGACTGCTCTAAGTTGAGGCAAACTGTGCCTATTTATAACTTTTGGTGTCGCTTCAGATGCTTCTAATATTTTGGTCTTAAAACTGTCATTATTTTCCACAAATATCTGACACTTCCTTGTCTGGTACAATATGCTATATTTAGCATCAATACTCAAATAAAGTAGTAACAATTACGCAGCTATTTAGAAAAATAAAGTTACCGCTTTTTTCGATGCAGACTATAAATAATACTACGATATATGTACCAAAATGACAACAATAATGTGTAAACTTTGCAGAACGATTACACTTTGAGGAGGTTTGGTTTTTATTCGTTATTGTTGCAACTTTGATAACTATTTTCGAATTGGCGATCATATTCTAAATCAAGCCATGCATAGTTTAAGAAAAATGTATTAGTGTAATAAATATGTTCAACTTTCCGGTTTAGTTTGAAAACGATGACGAAACACTCTAATTAAATTTTTGTACCATTTTGGGAAATATTTATGTCGCGATACAGATCTATAGTACGCTATTGTGATTGATTGCGACGATTTAATTGGTTGACTTTTTCGTCTATAAATAACTGACGGTCACAATGTCATCAATACACTGCCGAATTACGCACTAGTCATTTCTTGAAACACCGCAATACAATGTATCATCACTGTCTATTAATAGTTTTGATTTGTGTCTTTATTAGAAAGAAGGTAAACCTCTACAATAGTCTTGATTAAAACATCAGACAGGGAATAACGCAATACACGTCATCATACATTTTATTCTACAACCACAGCTTCTTCATACATACATAGCAGTATTACACATGGTCATAACTCCATCTGAGACAAAACCACGGGTATTATATAAACAGAACATGTATATATTACTATGATATACCATATGTTCCCTTGGTTGCGGGTGACATATATCGATATACTTTGATTAGTAACGTTTAAACTACGATTTATACTCACGATCTAAATATCGGTCTTGTTATTACAGTCTTTATCACCTAATAACTCTTCTCGACCTGTCTTCAAATTTTTAGCCCAATGTAGAGGCTTTTTTGTTTATTGACACGCTTTACAAGGGTTTTAACTGCCATAAAACACTCTACGTTGCGTTGTACTTTTTATAATACCCACTCTGCAATCACAATATTAATATCGTTATCATATGCAGTTTCTGTATTAAAATAATTTCCCATTTTTAGGGGACGTCTAAAGCGGGTGTTAATTACGTGGCTTGTACGGTAAATACTATCTTTATCCCCCCCACCCTTAAACATGTAAACGTCCCGCACGCCCTTCTTCTACAAGTATACAAGTTTTAACTAAACCATTGGGCTTACACATTGACGATTGACGCTGTATAAAGAACGCAACATACAAATTACACAGATCACAATTGACAGAATACTATGTTAATGTACGGAATCAATAATGACACAACCTTGTCCCCGCCTTCATACTCTTATCAACATCCATACCCACCACAGTTAATCATGACTTACGATCGCATCACCAACTGTCTCCTTATACTACAACTTCGGGATAATTACATGTTAAAATAATTTTTTTTTGTAAGAGTGGACGTTGCAGAAATTGTACCAGCATAATTATAATTTCCAAATACTAAGCTAAGAGGCATCACTATTTATGTTTTCCTTTTTTGGTTTTTTAATTATTTTCTTAACGTTAAATTGCTCAACTTAGTTTGGTACCACTCACACAATGGTGCCTCACCAATCCAAGGACCGAAGCGACCTATGTTGCGTCTGGCACTGTCGAGTATTTAAAAAGTATTGGGGTTAAAGAATTTTGCTTTCTATCTAGACACGAACGCATTATTTTTATTGGAAATATAAATTCTGCACAAGATTTCAAAGCTGATGACTGGCTGGAAATGTCGTATTATGATTACGTTATTGTTAACGGATTCTGATAATCTCTCGCTCGCTTCGCTATCTCGCGTCCTTGATTTATGATTGCTTTCAGTCGCGTGTCTCTTCGCCTTTACCTTTTTCCCTGCCCGAACACTCCTATCCTTAGTTCCTCGATCCTTCAGTTACCCTATATCGTTTTATGGCATTAATTCTCGGAGAATCGAGAACCATTTCAGCTCCCTGCTCGAAATCCTCCGATTGAAGAAATTTTTAAGTTATTTTGCTGGGTATCGTTAAATCTGCAATGCTACGAAGTCGCAGAAATACCACGAAAATAGCGGCGATGGATCTTTGAGGGACATGATTCATCACTTGCGTAATACCGCAGGCATAACCTTGAATATTTGGCTGTGATACTACCGATAATAAGAACTCAAAATTATAATACTTACCTGAAGTTTAACCTAAATACAGAATATCCGGTATATTTTTCGGCCAATAATAATTATTATTCGTTTTTTTTTTCGAGCAATGCGGCATTGCTTGATTGTCAAGTGATTTTCGCGAAAGTCAGATGATCTTCATATTAAATTACGCTCTCGGCGTTATGACATATTGATTCTGTTGGTTTACATACAAACATTTCGATTCTAATACTCTAGTCACGAATCAGTAAAACTTCGACAAAACGCAAGTAAAACTAAAACTTTCGGGAAGTATATCCGAGCTAAACGTTTTGTTTGGAACGGTAGTTGTAAGGATCGCAGCAAGTCGACTAGGCAGAACGCCGGGTTAGTTGAAAAAACTCAAGGATCGTTAAAGATACCTCAGAAGGAAAGGAACATGTTAGTGAGGTGGTTGGAATCATCGAGCGAACCAAGTTACGTAAGTTGAAAATATCCTATTGAGCAGTAGCATGAAGCGAAACCTACGAATTTGAAGAGAGGCTTGAAATGCAACAGGTCAAGTTCAGGAAAGTCTTATGAAGAAAACAAAGAAGACTTACAATAAATAAAACAATTAATTGTGATGACATATGCGTAGGCATTATTCCATATGTTTTATTCGTATTTGCTTAATAACAGTTTTGCTCAACATTAATCCGCATCTCACTCGGTTCCTCGAACACATCGTATCTCTTCCATTTTCCCATGCTAGTCAATCCCATATACAGTGAGTGGTGCAAGATTTGCTGACAAAGTTTTTAGCACTCGGACGAAGAATCTCCAACCTTGCGCATCGAATGCTTGGACAACGCTCAAAAGCAATCGTTGTCACGACAATGACGACCAATTAGTCCATTGGCGAGAGAAGAAAGCCATGTAACGTCACGGACTGAGAGTCAATCGGTTCCACCTTCGATTGCGAATAAGCATGCTGGGCGTCGTATTGTAAGTTTCTTATAACGAAGGATAGGTTAAAATGTTGAGGTGTTGCGGGGATCGAGGGAATTGTTGCTAAGTTTATCACACTGAACGCAATTATGTGTTGTATTGCGCATTATTTATTGACTCTTTCTATGTTCATTATTGTTGCTACCGCTACAGCCTCACTTTTTCAGATACAGATCAGAATTGATCTCTTCCTGAGGAAGAGTAAGCATTACTGATTCAACAGACTGCCGGACTTTTGAAGCCACAGTGAACCAAAAGATGGATCAAGGACAAAATATGAGTATTGAGCATTTGAAAAGTGTTGTCTTAAAGTTTCTGGCGAGTGGCGCTGGAGAACGGGAAACGAGGGACATAGAAACAAGGTAGAGAGTGAATAGAGTTTTTCGGAACAATTCATCATTGTTTGAAATATCAAAGTCGCAGCGTTTATAGTTGAATCGAAATGAAAACGTCCACTCCGAGCCTGACATAAGATTGGGAAAATGAATTTAGTTTGCGGCCAACAACTGGCTTTTTTGCGACTAAAAATAAGCCACAAATGGAAAACGAATGCTATGCGGTTGTATTTTAGTAATAACTGTTCAATAGG